TTCTTAAAATAATTATATTTTGCCGATCTTCCCTTTCTTCACCTCCGTTGATTTACAGTCCGGCTTTTGTACACACACCTCTCACCGAGGGGTGAGGACGACAACATGGCGGCTTCCTTGCGTCTGGGTCGTCAAGGGATTTTATTTGGCCTCAGGTTGTCTCATTTTAACAAATGTGTACGGGCGACAACACCATGGCAGGAGCAGGTCCGACGTTTCTTCTTGTCGCCCTGGGTCCTCGGTGAGTGTTGACGGTCAAACAGAAGGATGACACGTCCGTTTGTCTCCTGACATTCACCACCATCGTTAGCTTGGCTAACGGTGTAATTCGGTTATAACAACTAATAACAGTGATTTTAAGTGTGAAGGCTTGTGTGGCACAGATTGTGTTCTTCGGGTTTTATGTAGTTTGTGTGATAGGAGAAGGGAAACACAATTAGACATGGTCGTAATCAACTTGAAATAGACGTAAACTGCCTCTCAATAGACATTGTGGTGCTGCTAGATCCAAGACTCCTGGTTGTAATGGTGGGTTTTAGGTGATATGTGTCACACGCTGGTCACAAACACTCATGATGGGTTAGAGACAGAGCCTCTTTAGTCCAGGGGGCAGCCACTGTTTGTTTAACATTGCATGAGTCTCTCTGTGTCATCATGTGTCACCACAGGTTCAACCTAGTCTGATCTTGTTTCACCCTTCCATACAAACCACTTCAGTGTAAGGTGTTTATAATGTACACACTCAGCTCTTGTCTACCTCATTGTGACCTGACTGCTGCTGTAACAACTGAATCTAAATATACAAAATATATGTCAAACATTACGTATTTACAAAATACATAAACTAAAAGTCAGTCTGACTTGTGTAGAACGACTGCATGTTTGTCTGATAACAACAATGTTTCAGTTCTCTTATTAACTTATTAAGCCTAAGCATTACAATTTTACTATTAACTTTATTATTAACAACAATAGATTAAAGAAGATAGAATCAGATGTATAGAACTTCAATTAAGAAAATAAACATGCAAACTAAACAAAAATGTATATCTTTTCTTAATGATATTGTTGACTTTGTAAAAGTTTTCACCTCAGCAAGTAAATGC